TTGTCGTTGGTCGCCCTCTGGCCACGAGAAATCAGAATCTACCATTTCCCTGCAGCAACGTTACTGTCAACAGAAGCAGATGTCCCGACACTAATCATTTCATCTGAACCGGGGCCCGTGTTTGGTTATAATACCATCTTCCTGGGCAAATGTTCGCCGTCGCAGGGACTTTTAGACAAATACAAGGGCCGGCTGCCACCGTGCTGTTTCCTTTCCCTCGTTGTTTGGAAACTCAAAAGTATATACGCATTTTCTGCTTAAATAGGACTTCTACTTAAACAGGGAGTCGGGCTGCAACCCTTGCAGCCATTCGACTCCTCAAGAACGGTCTGTGAATCGCGGCGGATCGCTCGAGACCCAGACGGATTGAAATATCTGAAGAAAAAGTGGCTTTAAACTATTAAATTTCCTCGGTCTGTAGCTGCTTTATCTTTGTTAACGCATTGAGATAATTAATAAGATATGCTAATCGTATGCTACTTCAACGAGCACGCGATTATGAAACTAATCGTTTTTTTTTCTTTTAATATTCATTTCAAGTGGCAATTAAATATCGATTGTACGTAAAGTGTCCAGATATATCGAGTTTTAAGGCTCTATAAGGAAGTAAAATGATCGTTGCACCAACGTTCGAGCCCGATAAGATCGTAGATCTAGCGGGTCGGATTCCAGTGATACGTTTTTAAATATTTTTAAATCGTTAAAGAGATAACAGTGGCCCGATGAATATCTTAGAGTTATCGTCGATGAACATTATAGATAACACGTGTGTTTGAGGATATCGTATTATCGTTGCACCGACGTTCGAACTCGATAAGATCGGATCCATCTATCTAGAGAAGTCACGAATATTATCACACGAACACTATAAATAATAAGAAACCAAACTTAAAAAAATATTTTGTTTTATCGAACGCCATCGTGAAATCAGTGCAGATAGTATCGACGGCGGTATCCTCGTTCAAAGTTATTTAGCGATCATCTAATTTTACGATCCGCGCCGATATCGATTGCAAAGGGTGCGTGCGACGTCGCTGAAAATCTTCGTCGATCCTCGGATCTGGTGACGTGTTTCTTATCGAGGGCCGTGCATCTGTCGACCAGGAGATATAAGGAAACGTATTTACGAAATATTTTAATTAGCTTATCGGTTGGAATCGGTGCCAGCTGCTGACGATGCGCGTGCTTCTAATTGCTGATCTAGACTCCAGATGACGATCGTCGCCTCTCGTTCTCTTTCGACTTTTCTGCATTAATCACGTGAACTTACTATCGCGAATACCTGCGTGCATTCTTCCCCGAACTCGCGTCAAAGGAAGAAACGCGAAACCACGGCCTGTTATCGAAACGCGAACTTTTTGCGACAGACACATGGAAAGATATCGTTTTTTGCTTTCGCCACCCCTTGATTCCCGCTTCTGTACTTAATTTCATACGCACGACTGGTTCCAGTAATTAGTGCCTTTTATTCTATTTCGATAAAATCGTTGCACGAAGATTCTTAAATTATTTGACGCTCGAGAAATAATACATATAAAAATTTTCTATTGCGTCGCGTTCCGGTGTTTTCTTCGTAGGTTTAGCATTTGAGACATTCTTTAGCCGGTGTATGTCAGGACTACCGTCGTCAGCGACGAAGAGAACGGAAGAATTGATGCACGGTATTAAAATTAATACCTTATCGTCGCGATATTACGGCACGACGCGTTACGCATTCATCTCGTCACTCCAATAAGCTAATTATAACGCTGTCGAACACGCGCTTTCTCGTGCATCCGTCCCGTTGGCTTCCAAGGAAAGCATCGAACCGGGACTTGAAACGTGGGAGAAGAGCGAGTGGGAGATCTTGGAGGGTGTCTTCGATAACGTCGCACGGCAAAGTCTCTCCCCCATTTCTTCGTGATATTCAACGGAAAAGTGGCTTTGCAAAAACCCCTGACAATTAAAATCTCTCCGTCGTGTATACACGGTGCAACGAGAAAGAAACAAACCACCGAGGGTGAAGATATCGAAGAAAAATAAAGGGGAAAGTTCAGAAGGAAATGAAAATACACGGCGAAAGATTTATTACCGTGGTAACAACGTTTTATTGTTACGCGGATAAAGTCAAAGAAGGAACGATATTAAAAAACAGCTTAATATCTCGCGTTCGAGTTACGGTGTTCAAGAGACACGCAACTGCATTCGGAGACCATAGATCATCGTGCTTGAAATCATGTACCGTTGCAGTTAATGAATGAGAAGGCCCACGTTGAAAGTCGAAAAGTAATTTCGTCATTTCGACAAAAAAAGATCTTTTCCCCGCAGCTGCCCAGTCGTTACTCTTACATTTTGGTGACAGGTGGCTATTGCGTTGAATTTAATTTTAATAAGAGACAGCCACTCGCGACGGAACTTAAGTGACAGATTCGGGAATGTTTTGCAACCTGTAAAGCACTACTATGGCGAGCGAGGATGGCAGCCTGTTGTTAGAATGCCGTGTACCTTCCGATGGATCAAAAATCGTGAATAAGTTCTGAGAGCGGTGGACAGCCAGGGACGCGGAACAGAGCTATTTTTCGAAAAGAAAGGACAAGTTGGCTGAAGTATGCGAGCGTAGAGAGAGAGAGATAGTAGGTGGGAGAGATGGATAGTCGGATAGGCACGCGTAGATGGTCGTACATAAGGTGCAGGAGAAGAGCAGATCCCCGCGCGAGTGAACATCGAGGTCCGAGGCAGGCGGAAAACGTCCCCTTCGCGCGGCACACGCGTGGACGATTATGGTCTAATTCGCTTGTACGCGCATTCCCACCAACCTACCTAGCTTACCTACCAACCTACCTGGCTGCCTCGCATGACAGAACCGTCTTGGCGAGCGAACGAGGAAAAGCGTAATTGTCGGTACATTCGATAAGCGTACGCTCGAAAGATAGGGGTGTGTCCCCTTAATTCCATCTCCCTTTCTCCGTCCCTCTTTCACCTCCCACCCTTGCACACTTCACCCTGATTCCTTCTCTCTCTGGTTCGCGACCCTCTTGTCGTCAACCACTGGTCGTTCGTCCCTCTCTCTTGTACGTTTCTCCCGTCGATTCGTCCTGGCTTTCTTCTCTTCCCGCGCTTTTCCTCCTTTCTATCCCTCCCCCTCGGTTCTTTCTCTCTCGAGTTGCACCTTCAGGTTCCACCCTCCGGTACCCCCGGTCGCCGCCGTTCTCGCGTAAATATCGCGGTTTCTCGGTAAACAGGCGAACGCGCGACGGGCAAAGAGGGACTGCCCCGGAGAAGGAGGTGCGTGCACACACACACGCACACGACGCTGAATTTGCGTGATACTGCGCGATTACGGGCGCGTGTGTAGGTGCAGATGCAACCCACCGGCAGTGGGAGGGCGGAAGAGAGCGAGAGGGAGCGAGGAAGAAGGGTGAAAGCGAGAGAGTAAGGGAAGCAAGGCAAATGTCAATATCGACGATGCATCGCCAAGAGAGCCGCACTTGGGGCGGGAATGAGGGCGTAATTAATCGTCCAAGCAAAGAAATTCTCTCTTTGTCCTTTACCCCGGGACCCTGCACGGCTATCCGTCTTCCCTTGAGACGCCGGAACCTTCGAAATTTAGCTTAGGAGAGACTTTTCGAAATTGTTTGCCGTCCGTTTTGTAAGCATGCTATTAACGGGCGGAAAGCGGTCGGTTCGAGGCACGTTTGACCCAAGCTAAATTCGTGTGCTCCGGACAATACGAAGCAAAGCGTTTGAATAGCGAATTGGAACTGTACAAGCCATACTTTAAAACGGTTACTTTATTTAATCTCTACGGAAAAGTATCGAGGTACTTGTGCCCTAAACCTGATAGTGCAAGAATTATTATTCATCGTTTATACGATAGACTCGGTATAAATTTATTACTTATTTACGAGTGTTACGATGTTGTCAAGGCAATCGTAATGTTATTGATTCGTTACAACGCGATTCAGTTTTAAGGTAGTAGAATAGTAGTTCGATACATCGAGTGGGGGAAAAGTACTCATAGCGCAATACTTTGATTTTTCCGCGACTGGTCGGTAAAAAGAAACGTATCAGCTGATGCAACTCGACGCGCCATCTGTGAACCTAGCTAGAAGGTTGTAGTTCTTCGTTCCAGGTGATAATACAGGCCTCTGCATTGAGCGACTGTCGACAAGAGACGGGCACAGCTTTCTTAAAAACGAAAAGAATCACATACGATCGTTCCTTTACTTCCGTATGATTCTACAAACAAATACGTAACTGTCTCCGCCAAAATATTCTTCATAATTGCACAATTGCACAGTATTTTCTGAATTGACCTTACCGATCGTGGAAAATGCACTTTCCACTAGGAACTAAATTTCCCAAGATGCTCGTGTATCCTCCGAGGAATCCCCTAGGGCTGTGTCGTTGGTTACTTACCAACCTTCCTCCAGCCAAATGTTCCTAACGTTTCCCCCGAACGAGGATCGCAACGATTATCGAAATATGGTGAAAAATTTGTGTAATTTTAAAAATTACGAAGCGACGTGGATCCATCGGAATTCTAAAAATAAAAAATTCTACTCCGACGCGATTTAATTTGCTACGTATCGCGCGAAACGTGCCGAAGGGTGATCTTCGCCGTCAGCGCACCGTGTAATTTCCCCGTTCTAATTAACTCCGTCAGCGCCCGATAATTTCCAGCGAGAACGATCGAAGTGTATCGCCCGCGGGGGCTCGCTGGACCCGTCCGCTCGCCCACCCCCTTCCCCAACCACCCCCCTTTCGAATAATCCGCATCGTTTTGTCGTCGCGGGAATCTAATCTAATACCGCTGGCCCTGGAAGGTTATACTTTTATTAAGCGCGTCTATTGGGCTTAACGAGGTCAATTGAGGCGATACGGTTTGCCTTGATTTTACGATAGTCCGCCGTCGGAACGATAACGATCCGAATGCTGGGACTCGCCGCGCGATCGACTCGATCTCTTGCACCGATCGATGCCGGTTACCGAACTTAACAGACTGTTCGATTGTGTTTCAGCACCTGTACCATCTGCAAACGGGCGAGGGTGCGTTCAGAGAGAGGGGGAGGGGCCGAGGCAAAGGTGCAACGAGGGTAAGTAACCTAAACGGTTCCTAACCGCGCTACACCCTGCAAATAAATCCTCTTTGGATCTTTGTTTTCAACCTTTGTCTGAAACAGGTGGGCCTTGTCAAGCCTGACAAGAGGTCCTCGATTTTATTCAAATTTCTAGACGATTCTAAGCAATTCTAAATAGATAACTAATTTCTAAAAATTCAAATTCGAACCTAGAACCTTGTAGTATGAATCTACCACCAGTCTTAAATATTGTTATTATAAGTTTGAATATAATCGATGGCTCGAGTCGCAGAAGTTCGAATTTTCGAAAGCTGGATCCCCCATGAAATTTTACGATCGCGGGACTGAGATTTGTTACAATCTCGCCCGAAAAATATTTGGTTCGCGTAACTCGATTCGCGAAAAATCGCCCGTGCACGCTATTCTTCCACTTATCGAACGGTTCCCCGTGATCGATGACGACACGACGAAATAAAGTTTTGAATACAGGGAACGCGCGAAAGCGGTCGGTTCATAAATTGATATTCAATGTTCCTCCCGTCGAATGCGGCGTACGATCTACAAGACGGGGGAAAGAATGAAAGCCGAAATCTCGCAACATAAACCATCCCTTTTTCTCTTCTTCTGCTGAATGAATATTCGAGCGAACGACTGCGCGCCATTTTATTCTTATTGGCCCCGCGAAGGACGGCGATTTAACATCTTCAGGCACGCTGTACGTTATAATGTACGCGAACTTCAAACAACTTGAGGCACGCGAATTTTTTTTTCAGAACACAATGAAAAGATCGAGAGCGACCAGAGGCTGAAGGGGTTCGATGTTTTATCGACTCGTTCTCGTTACGATCGTTTAACTTAATTACGTCTAGCGAGCTTCGAACAACTTCAGGCGGTCGATAAATAATATGCACGAAAACGAAACGTTCGATGATTTGATTTAAAAGAAATTTCAAAGGATGCCACGTAAAAATTCAATATGGTGGCGGTTTACACTTTTTACGGTTTATTCTTTGGTAGAGGCTCGTAATTCGCGAGATTTCAAAGGGGCGCCGATACGCGTCTCGGGCGCGATGTCGTATTTACGCTCTTCGCCGTGGATCTCGTTTCCGGTTCCCGCGCGCGCGAATTTCTTCTTTTTTTTTTACTCCCCCTCTCCTTCTTTATTCCGTTTCGACGACCACTACTCTTTTTCGAGCGCCCTCGGCTCGCCCACTTATCCGTCGCGTTTCTAATTCTAGAAACGTGGTAACGCGAGAGTAAACGGGTCCTCTGTTTCGCGCCACTCGACGAATCCCGTTCGTCGAACTCGCGAACCCCCGAAAACGGCGTTTGTCACAATTTGAATCCAACTACAAAACGAGGGGGAATAAAATTCTACCCTTTAAAATTTTTTTATTCGTCATAAGAGTTATATAGTTGATGATGACTATCTATTTACAAGAATCCAAACTGTTTAAATAAATATTCAATGGGGGGCTACAAAAATACTTCTACCTCTATACTAATTTTTATTATCTTCCAAACAGTATATAAAAATTTTGCGCGAGACACCAAAGAATAAATAGTAAAAAATTCTAATATATTCGTTTCGAGTAACTTCTGGCCAACACTGTCGTAGAATTACGGTTAATCACTTGTAACCGATGCGTCGCGAACAAGTTCTTGTCCCACTGTGCTTCACCCTGCCGGCAACCCTTCGAAACCAGTCCACGGGGGTGGAAAACGATCGACGCGATCGCGGGTTTTCCGATCGCGTAATTTCCCGGCGCGGGTTCCTCGTCGTCGGTTTATTTCGAATGTATTTTCTTCGGCGGCCGCGAGCTCGCGCAAAGTTCTCGAACTGACATTAAGCGAGGCATGGTATTGATCGCGTCGCGACGCGCCTGTGCGCGTTGCACCGCCATGTTTAAAATGTTCCAGCTGCAACTGCGGCCCGCTGTTGCATTTCTCGACCGAACGATATCTCATCCGCGGCCCGAACCTACCACCTCCGCCTCCGCCGCCTTCTTCTTCCGATTTATCCGCGGCCATTTATCCAGCCACGCGAAACTCGCGAGCCACTCTCTTTCCGCGCGTCGAACTTCGCCTGCTGTTCATACCTCTGAATAATGATAATAATTTTTTTTAATAGTTTCAGATTCGTTTAAAAAAGATTCATTCCACCGAGGAAACTTTTTAAATCGTCTCCAAACAAAGAACTCTGGCGTTTATCATATTTTATCATAATGATGAATTATAGATCGTCGAGGAGGAACTATTAATTGGATTTTATCGTTCGGAAGTGCATAATCTTGGCTCGTGTATTTTCGAACAATCGAGATTTATAAAATAGCAAGTTTCGACTATAAATATGTGAATCGAGTCAATTAGGTTATCGCGGTTTAAAACGAGAATTATTGAACGACTAAAAATAGCAGGAATCATTTTACGAACCGATTGTATTATCTTTGCCCGCAGAATTCGTATCTAAAGTTTTCAGCGCGTTTTGTAAAACGCTATGAATTATTCCACGAATTGGATTTTCCTTTACATATATTTCTGGCTATAGATCGTTCCTCGATTTTCAAACTTGTTCATATGTAAATCCATTTCTATTGCTAAAAATTACGAACAATACCAGAGATGAACAATAATTTAAAATAAGACAATGCCTCTGCAAATAAAAATTTTTATTTGCCTCGTCTTTAATTCTAGATTTTGGTCTTCTCTCGGTTTTCACTCGTACGGTGAAGTAAAACGGAAGAGAGATAAGATAAGATTGTGACAAGTATCAGACGATTGCTGTTTCCTATATTTAAATACTGTAATTTTTTAAATCAGTTTCCAAGGCTCTACCGCAAACCTAACATTCCTGTCAGCCTTTGTTACCGAGAACCGGTACATTAATATTCAACTCACTCTCGATTCGTTTACTGTTTTCTTCGTGCTCCATATTTAGTCAGCATTGTATAACATTATGGGTTCGATTCAAAAACATTTTATATAACCACTGTAGAATAAGATCTTCGTCAAAATGTTCTAAATCAAAATTCAGACGAAGGTGTCAAACTTTCCTTATCAGGAAAATGTATAGAACGTATCTTAAACTGCGCTATATAGCGAGAAAAACGAGATTTCGGGGAGCTCTGTACGATCAATAAGACCGAAGATATGAGGTCGCGAAGTAGGCTACACAATCATTATTTTCGTAGATATCCGTTACCAGATCAGAAACCATTCCTTCTCAGAAATATGAATTGGAATACTTTCAGCAAATTTATTTTTTACAGTCACAATTAGTGAAAATATCGATGGCCTTGAATAATATTTTCCTTTGATATTTTTCCTATCGTTAAAAGCAAGCAAAATAATTAAAATCGTTGTTATCTATCAGAGAAACGATTGTTTAGCCTACTTCGCGACTTCATATCTTCGGTCCTATTGATCGTAAAGAGCTCCCCGAGATCTCATTTTTCTTGTCGCATAGTGTACTTTGAGATACGTCCTATGCATTTTCCCAATCCCAGGCATAGGAAAGGTTTTATACAGCAACATATAAAAACGAAGTATTTTCACGTGAATTTTTGCTCATTTTTTTACCGTCTTCGATGCACTGTATTTCCGACCTTATTTATATCAGTGAATTTAATAGGATCTTTTCCCGTTGAAGACTAGTTAACAAAATGTTATTTAATAGAAGATACTGAAGAATTGCGAGCTAGGACCAATGATCGATGCTCAATAATTACCCAGGCAAACAATAAAATAAATATTTAAAAATCCTGGAATATCTCGGTTTCGAAACGACACGCCTCGCTTCTTCGAATATAGAGAGATTCGAGAAGAAATCGCGTCGCTGGCGTTTTCCCTTTTGTATCCATAGAGATTTCGTCCCTCAACTTTTCCCGCGACAAAATTGCTTTGCATTCGGAATGCATCGATCGACGGGGGCCGAGTAATTGGAAGGAACGCGGTCTAGCTATCGTCCGCGTCTCCCGTTTCCCAGCCCCGGCGTGAAATAAATAATAAAACGCATAGTTACGGTTTTCCTATTTGCGCGGTGCAAGTGCATACAGCGAGCCGCTGATTTATATCGCGCCGCGTTCGACGAGCTTTTGATACCTTCGTGGGCGGCGGAGTGTTATCGATCCCTCGAAACAACCGGTGCACACGTGCGCTGGCACCTGTGCCGACGCAACGTCTTCGTGACAGAATGCAATTCCGCTTTTTCGCTGTTTCAATTTATATTCATCGGACGATCGATGCTTGCCATTTGAAACCGAGTCTTGTTTTCTCAAACCGGCGCGCGTAATGGCCGTACGTCGGCCTCGCTCCGAGCAATTTACTTATTATACCCCTGGGAGTCCACCCTTGATGGCCCATTCCCATTACGAGCCGGCAAAAAGATCGTCTTTTGCTGAATCCTCGTTGCGAATCCTCCGAACCTTGGAAATTTTACGCTCGCGAGAACGATCAAACTCCCTCGACCGTGAGAACAGCTAAAGTTGCAATAAAACGAAATAAGCAAAAGGTAAGACGAAAGTGAAGTTTCAGAATTCGAAGACGTAACGCGAAAAGTTGCGACCCGCTGTTAAAGACGACGAGGAGACGGTCCTTGTTGGGGGGGTTTGTTTTTCCGTCTAGATGGCCGTAAAACGGAATTGAAATGCTTGAAAACTTGATATCTGTGGCAGGGGTGCAATTGTTCGCTAGCATCCCCCTCGGGCGCGCCGCCGCGGAGGAATGCTTACTTTACAGTCGACTGGGATTTAGGAAGGAACCGAATGGTACAGCTCGTTGAGCTTAAGTGACTTCAAGAAGGTTGCGAAGGAAATAATAGCGGTGTTCCTGGGACCACACGACCGTTGTAAGGGTTAAGGCGCGCGTAATTGTAGCAAATCCCGAGTTTTCGGGGGCGGAATTCCCGCGACAATGGTGCGTGGATCGATCACGGGGACAAAAGGGGCTCCCCGGTGCCGGCCATTTGTTTCGAAACGAGCCCGCGCGGGATACAAATCGTTTAGAAAATTATCCGT